ACGAGTATGCTCAATTAATGATGGTAAGAATTGTAACTTTTTTTTTAATATTTCTGTGCAATTATATATTTCTGTTTTTACTTAAACACCCCCCTTTCTTCTTTTACTCCTTAATTACCCCGTTTACTATAGCAACAACAAGACGATCACGTTCTGTCAAAGAAGAATATTCAACAACAACAACGTTACTACCAATGGATGAATAGTCAGGGACAAAATGCCCCACCACATCAAAGTTTAAATGCAGTCTTGAATGAAAGCTCAATGCCTTGGGGTGGAAACATGTCACCAGGTAAGCTAGTAGATATTTTATTGAAACCTAATCATTAATAAAAAAGGGGGGCTTATAGTAGCCAGTCCATTTGAGACTGATAGAAGTAGAGTCCATACTCCTCAACCGCAAACACAACAATGGGACGAGGTGGATAATGGCGGTAGACCCTTCATTAATACAAAATTTACAAACAACACTAATGAAGATATGATCCGAACTCCACTTGGATGGGATAACAGTCGTGCTGCAAGCCCATTAATTCACAGTAGTTTACCTTCAACACCTATTGTCGATAATAATGATAGACTTTTATTACAATTGCAATCTCGTCAAAGACAAATTTTATTACAGCAAGAACAAATCTTGATGCTGCGTGAACAAATGATGAGACAGCAACCCATCATGATGAACAGTTCAAGTGCTAGCACAACCAGTAGCTCTACTGAAAGATATTATCCTGCCCCAGTTACAATTCCAAATACAACCCGCCATCATCGTCATGAAGTACCTTCTACACCCACCACTGAACCTATTGTCCCCATCATTCGATCACCTCTACTCGAAGAGTTTAGAAGTAACAAGAGTAAAAAGTTTGGATTAAAAGACATCATAAATCATGTAGTTGAATTCAGTGGTGATCAACATGGCTCAAGGTTCATTCAACAAAAGTTGGAAACTGCCAACAGCGACGACAAGCAATTTGTATTCGATGAAATTTTACCTAATTGTCTTCAATTAATGACAGATGTATTTGGAAATTACGTCATTCAGAAACTTTTTGAACACGGCAATCAATCTCAAAAGACCGTATTAGCAAAGCAAATGGAAGGCCATATTTTATCTCTTTCTTTGCAAATGTATGGATGCCGTGTTGTTCAAAAGGCATTGGAATACGTCTTGACAGATCAGCAAGCGATATTGATTCATGAATTGGATGGCTGTGTTTTAAAATGCGTCAAGGATCAAAATGGTAACCATGTTGTTCAAAAGGCCATTGAACGTGTCCCTGCCCAACATATTCAGTTTATTATCGACACCTTTTATGGACAAGTTTATCACTTGGCAACTCACCCTTATGGCTGTCGGGTCATACAACGTATGTTTGAACATTGTCCTGAGGAGCAAACTGTAAGTTATATAAATATCAATGTCAAGTGCACGAACTCATAAATATATACAGATTTACTTGTTGGAGGAGCTTCATAGAAGTACGAGTCAATTGGTTCAAGATCAGTACGGTAATTATGTCATTCAACATATCTTGGAACACGGTAAACCCAAGGATAAGGCCATGATTATCAGCAAAGTGAGAGGCCATACACTTCAATTGAGTAAGCATAAATTCGCAAGCAATGTCGTCGAGAAGTGCGTTGCCTATGGATGTCAAAGTGATAGACAGGCGTTGATCGAGGAAGTTTTGATGACCCGTCCCGATGGTTCATATCCTCTGATGTCCATGATGAAGGACCAATATGCTAATTACGTTGTTCAAAAAATGCTCGATGTAGTCGATGGTGATCAACGTGACCTTCTGGTAGCCAAAATAAAGCCTCACCTCCAAGGGTTGAAAAAATATACCTACGGAAAACATCTTATCAGCAGTAAGTCGTCTATTTTACTCGTATGACCTCTATTTATACTAATACCTTTTCTTTCCTTTACAGCATGCCTGGAAGTTGAAAAGCAAATGATGTTCAGTCATAATAGCACTGTCTCTACATTGGATATCGAGACGCTCAATATCACCGATTCATTATTACCTAACCCTAATACACCTATTAATAACTCCGCTAATAACCACCTCATCAGTAACGATCATTAACATAGTACATACTACATTTTATATATATTTATTTCTTGTATTATTGAAATAAGACAAACACCCACCACTCTCAACACTATATATTATACATTGTGTATATGAAACTTATGTTATTAACCCTTATACATATATAAATATTTTTTTTTTAATCCCTTTCCCAATACCAAATAAATATAATTTACAAACTTCTCCCCCCATACCCCCTAACTTTTTTTTATTATTTACAATTATTACACATGAGTAGACTTCTTCTTCGCTAATTTTTCTTCCTCTCTCTGCTTCTTTTTCTGTTCCTTCTCAGCTAGCTTTTGTGCCTTGATTTCTAATTTCTGCTTCTTTTTCTGTGCTTTCGATTCCTCTATGGCACGCTTACGCTTACGTTTGGCTTCTTCATTGGCTTGATTGGTATTGGATCCATCTTTCAACACTCGTCGTTTCATTGTTTGTAACTGCTGATGTTGGATGTATGCAGATCGTACATTGACAGGTGGATGCCTTGATCGGTTGCCACGTTTTTGTACAACGTATTCGTCTTCTGGCTTATCCATACGTGTTTCGTACCATGCTTTAAGAAGTCCAATAAGCGGTGTTGCGTCAGTGATTGGTAAAAACGCTGGCGGCGCAGTATATTTTACTTTGGTTTCTATCAGTATTTTGGTTAGAATCAAAATGTATATGCAATATATGAAAAAAAAAAAAAAAATGATGTAGCTTAATTACCAGGCTTTGTGTTGATCATTGGTTTGGGTTTATCTTTGCCAAACCAAAGTCGGGAAGGTACACCTAATGATCTCATATTGCATTCTTGATCTAGACCCAGTTCTTTAAATCCAAAGAAGTCTTCGCCTAAATCCTCACCAAATACACCACTTGATACAAAACAGGGCTTAAGTATTCTTGTTTTTTTTAAAAAAAAAAAATTGTCATCCTTGTTTTCAACTTACGTTATAAATGCTTCATCGTCTCTGAATAAGTTAGATTCATCATTGGCAGTTTCTAAAACAGAGCTTGAAACTAAATCTTGATAAGTAGATTCCAATTTTCGATGTGTGTCGTTCAGTCGATGCGTATATTTCATCACATCTTCGGTTACATAGTTATCTATTGCATCAATGCTATCCACATTATTTTCTTGGAGCGTATGTAACAAGATCTCTTCTCCTGACATGTCTTTCCCGTGTTGATCCCAATATTTTCTTGCCGTCTTTCCGATATTGGAAAAATATTCAGACATTAGATCGGTTAATACATTGAATGCAGAGGATTGAGCACTTTCAAAGCCTGCATGCTCTAAGATCTGAGACAAGCTGCGTTGTAGCATTTGTTGACTTGCTTCCTTATTTATCATGATGGGCGGAGGAGTTGTCTGACGAGAGGCAGATGGAATAGGTGTACCCATATCCATGATGGGCGGAGAATCGTGTGTAGATGTAGGATATGTATCGTTGGAGATAGGGATATTATTTCGGATAGAGTTACATCTATCATAAATGTATCGGTTGGTTTGTAACTTCTTGATGTTGGTTTGCATAATCTCCAATAGACCATTTGGGTCTGGCCGTGTAACAGGATATATATCCATTGAAGGTAAGGAATCATCCTCTTCATCCTCTAAATTATCATATGGAATATATTCTTCTGGTGCTCCAATAATATCTGGCACACCTGAAGCCATGCTATACTCTGGTAAAAATAAGTCTGTTCTAATCGCATCATCATCATCGGTAGCTGGGGGTCGTTCACATTTTCTCGTGGAGGCGAAAAAAAACCCACCATCAAACCCATCCTCATCTTCTGAAGTTAAATCAAATGAATCATAGACACTAAACCCTTCGTGCCTATCAATCCATCTTAAAAAGGCCGTACGGCTACATCTCATCAATTTTTTTGTACATTCGGGTTGATGATGTAGGTGCTCTAACATTGAAAATCTTTCCATATCGACTGATGAACGATGTATAGCGTTTCTGTTTCCAAATTCGAATTGGTATTGCTTTTCAACATCTGTCGTCAATTTCGCTCGTGTTTTTTTGGTAATTTCTCTCCAAATTTTATTCTGTAGCTCACCCATATCGGAATCAATTTCATCCGTCGTATGAAGCTCTTCATGTTCCTTATCAAGTTCTGTCAATGGCTTCAGAGGCGTTCCTTTTTGAGGATGTTTGCCACTGTAATGGTGATGATGATGCTGACTGGATTCTTCAAATGATTCGTGTGTCATGGAACGTTCGCGTGTAGATCCTCGTTTTATTTCTTCTTCATCGCTGTCATCCAAATCATCCAAATCATTCTCGGGTCGGTCTTTAATACTGATCTCAGGTACACGGGATAATAAGCGATCTGTCTTTCGCTTCATGGCGATGGCATGTTTTCGATATTCACTGGCTGGATTCGTATTATACGTTAGACAGTTTTCGTAAATTAAATAAAGGTCATTTCCAAATTCCTTCTTGTTTTTGTATTGGCAATGCTTCAACTTTTTAGAGACTGTGCCTAGATCCATTGGCTCCTTTATCACTATGCATTTTTGTCAAAAAAAAAAACCTTTTTTTTAAAAAAAAAAAAATACTAAGAAAGTTGCTGCACTTACCTTCGAAATAATCGGGTGCTTCTCGTTTATTGACTTTGCTTAAAAATGGTGTCGAATGTTCCTATTTATTATTATTATTTTTTTTTTTAAAAAAAAAAAAAACATCAGGATCTTTATAGAATGCACTTACAGTATAATTCTTCAAATCAGTCAGGACTTTCTCACAAGCTTCGTATAGATCTTCTTGACCAATTTTATCATCGTTAGCCCATTTGGATCGATGTGGTTTGACATCCAACAATAAATTTCTCAGTTCTCTGTCTGATAATGTAGTCTTATTTCGGTTCTCTGAAATTCCCTTCAACAAATACTTTAAACTGAAATGATCGGATTCGTCCATGATTGTAAACTATAATATGAAGTATGATTAGCAGGGAACCGTAAAGACATCGTATTTATATGTACATACAGGTGTGACAGGGTCCTCTTCATGAACTTCCTCCTGAGCTTGATATTCGTCCAGCTTTCTCTGCTCAATCATGGCTGCCATATCAAATTCCAACGTATGGTATATATCCAAAAGAGGAACATGATCGGTGTTACTGGACAAAGGAAATTCTTCTTCAGGAGCCAGTGACATTGGCATGGGGGACGATTTAGTGTCTTGTAAGTCTTGAGCTTGTCTACATAATTCGTCCAAATCCAACGGTGAGCGACAACAAGGTCGATGGTGGGAGAAATAAGGAACGAATTGCTCGAATAGCATGGCTCGTACACGAAACGTAGTCAAATGCTCGCTGCTGCTAATAAATGTCTTCCAACTTTCAAACGAACTCAATGCCCGAATAAAACTTTCGCTTTCGGGTACAGTCAAGAAGGAATTGGCCATGTCTAATTTTAAAAGCTGTCTGGAAAGCACAAACAACAATTGTGGCCATGGTGGAAGATTATCGAGTATTGATGTCATTTTTTTTTTTTTTTTTTTGTTTTAAAAAAAAAAGTTGATCGTCTTGTTGACACACACACACACACACAAGGACTGTTGACGTTTTTTATATAAAAAGAAGCTCGTTAGATAAATTGCAAAAAAATTGACAGATAATAAATTGTTTTACCTGTGTTCTTTTTTAATGTATCCTATGAGCGCGTTTTTGAAGAAAGGAAGGAAGAAAGGGGCAAAAAAAAAAAAAAAAAAAAAAAAAATATGGCAGTGTAATGATGGCTCGTAGCGGAAGCACAATTTCAGCCACTGCTAATTTAAAATGTTGAGTGTATTTTCTTGGGACGTACCCAAGAATTTTTTTTTTTTTTTTTTTTTTTGGACTTTTTTTTTTTGCGTTATTGTCAAATAACACCCTTTTAAAGTAAAGTTAGTATCGAAACAGTTTTTCTTTCTCTTTTTCTATAAAATGGTGCGAGAAGATTTGTTTTTAAAAATTACAGACACAGAAGTGTCGGACAAGTCAAGTCCATATATTTCATACGGCAAACATGTGTTAGTCATAAAAAAAAAAAAATAGCTATGTTTATCACTCTTCTTTGTAAGGATCAAGTAGAATCTTTAGCGAACTGTATTTGACTGTTTAAAATTCTATACACAATATATCATATAATTCAACAGCATAATAGGCTGCTGGTTAAAAAATAGATGTATAAAAATCATGGCTTTACTGAGTATATAATCGAATTAGAGTAGTTTTGATAAAAGGCGTCAGTTTTTATACTTTTAATTAAACAGTAAGGGTGTATTCAATTATAAATTCAAGGATCAGCAAAGGTTAAGAAAGGGTATATGTCTGACGCTCAATTTTGAATTGTGGTAATGAAAATGGCATCCGGCTCAATCCATATATTCCTAAAACCTTTAAGGTTAAATCAAGTAAAATTGACTATAAAAGATGGTACTCGGAAAATCTGTGATAGCCTTCAGGGAGCGAAAAAATGTATACGATGGTACTATTGTGCAGGAGACCGAAACATGGTTAAATCAACATCTATTTACACATGTAAAAATGATATGTGCAAGACGTCGACTTTGTTTTAAAAAACCAGTAAAAAGTTACAAAATTTTATACGAATTCCAGGAACAAAAAAAAAAAAAAAGAAACAGACTTATGAATAACAAGAACGAGTTAATACATCACCAACCTGTGTGTTTGCTTTTCTCACGTAATAATAATGAAAAAGAAAAACGGAAATTCTGTTATTCAAACAAAATCAATGGGCCAAGCGTGTGCTACAATCCAAAATATAATTTAGTACTCAACGATCATTCACATGAAGGAGAGACACAGTATCAGAACTGACCATTGGAATTACAGGTTTAGCAAATTTGTAATTCGATACAACTTTTCCTTCTTTCAGTCACTCTATAATACTGGTTTCAAAAATTTTGCCCGAGCTTTCTGAGAAAGAAACGTGGGTGAGTCTACTATCGATGATAGTGACACTATGTATGGGTTACTTTTTTAAAAAAAAAATACAGCGTGTGTTAGGATTTTAAACTTAGTAAGTACCCTATCAATGTAACATTTGTATTTTTTGACTAAACAATGGGATGTAACAGCAGTGTGATATTATTGAAAAGTAGCCATTATAAATACGCTCCCACAAAAGAGAGGGTAATTGGGAGGTGGGGTTTAAAAGACACATAATACCTGTATGGCTAGAAGCAGACATAATCCGTTGGAAGCTTAATGAACGAGTACCTTGTGATTATCTTGTGCTGGACAACTATAGCTTAAAAATGTACGGTCTTTAAATGCACAGATAATAGATAGGTTCGGATCGGATTCTCTTATTGAGTATAAATAATCCGACGTAAATTAATTTTTCATCTCTTTTTTCTTTACCCTTTTTTTTTTCTTCTTCTCAAAATGTCTTATATTTCCTCTTTAAACTTACTTGGGGACGATTCGCCTGTTCCCTTATCCGAAGAAGCACTTAGTGAAGAACTAGCTATTTGGGCCAATGCACAATTTACCTTTGATACAAAGCCAGGCTCAGCCATCGTGGACGATTCCTATAAAGCGGTAGCAGAACAACATAATATCTTCTCCACTTTTGAAAACTTAAACCCTCAGAACAATACAGATTTACTACATTCCTATTTAAATAACACACCTTATCTGATACCGTCCCCACAACATCAGCAGCAACAACAGCAGCAACCACAAAATATCTTACCAAGAATCGCACCAGCTCCATCCACGATAAATCACAGTCAGCTCCTGGTGGGAAAAAAACGTCCATTGCCTTCTATCACTCGAAAGGAAGAGGAAGAAACAACCGAAATTGTTGAGGAGGATAAAAGAAAGAGAAATACAGCCGCATCTGCAAGATTTCGTATGAAAAAGAAGTTACGAGAACAGGCTTTAGAACAAACTGCCCAAGAAATGACAGCTAAAGCTGAAGCACTTGAAAAGCGTGTGATCGAATTGGAAAAGGAAGCTAAATGGCTTCGTGCTCTGGTTGTCGAAAAAGATCCTGCATTGCTATCGACTGATTAAACTTTTTATGGAGGTTTCTTTTTTTTGTTTTGTTTTTGTATTTGACACAAAATTCACCGAATTCGCTTTTCATTGTAATACCAAAAGGAATAAAATAAAATAAAAAAAAAAAAAAAAAATTGTATTATAAAATCTATTGTATCTTATTTGTTGAATCTTGCGTGATTGACATTTGATTGGCTTCGAATCCTTTTCCTGCCAAAACATTGGCTGGACCGTTATCATACCTTACGAGCCATGTTTAGGAGACATTAAAACGTAAAATATGTTACGTAAATCCATGTAACTAGGGATGCCATGTAAAATGTTATTAGTACTTATTACACATCTCGATAAGATGATTAATCTAATTGTGTATCCATTAATGCATGATTCAAGTTTTTGTACGACAGCTCAAAATACCATTTACCACAATAAATACGCAATCTCGAGTTTTTTTTTCCCGCACCTTTTGCTAAAACAATGTCGCAATAAAATAAAAAAAAAAAACTGTTCAGAGAGCTGTCCAATGCCTGCAACAAGTTCATCACAACAGCAACAGTGTCAATACCACTTCTCAAATATTTCTTGCTAATTTTCTCATAAATGCGTTTTCATGCATTAGCATTAAAAAAAATGGGAAATGAAAAACTAAAATATACCTATTCTCGATTCATATCTCTAAACCAAAGACTTATGTTTGATTAGGAATGTTAGTGGGTCAATCGTCCAATATATTTTAGTGAGGTTGTGGTGCGGTGATAGACCGTTAAGAGATCTTTAGCATCTCAATCACATCAAATAATATAATTGGGTTACATATAATCCCAGAGCAATGATTGGATGGGGAACATCGTTGATATGCAATATCGTATGCTTTAAATCTATAGATTGTCTGGCCAATACGATGTAAATTAGTTTTACTTGATATCTGATCTTAAGTGAGTAGTGTCAGTAAACAGCTATCTACACCGTTGTATTTCCTCCAATAAATGTTATATATAATGACCTTCAGTCTGCTAAAATAATAATATTCGAGTGTTGCTCTCATATTACCGACATTGGGGAATTATATCATTATTAGTTGTTTAAAACTCTCTTAAATCTGCTACTAAAAGTATCAGCTAATGATAAAACATGTAGTGACCCAAGACAGTGTAATTCTAATTGCCATGTTTCAGAAGATTAGAAACAAGCAAACCACCTATTCTATTACCAGATTCAATCTTCCAGATGATTTGATATAAAAAGCGTCCTCCCTTTTGCGAAGACCTTCCCTCCATAACTTTAATAAAGAATTAACAGAGACTCATTTCATTTAATTTTTTTTCTTGTGTTTTTATCTGTTTTTCAATATCTCAAAACATCACACATTGCACAGATCTCTATTTCTGCTGAGAGTACTTTAGGTGGGGTAAACATATTATTTTTGGCAAACAAGTGTAAGTATTGCAGCTGTGGTTGCCCGCGAACATGCGATATGAATGAGGGACCTTTCCATTCTATGCTTAGTAGTATCATAAACTATAACACATGAAGTCCCCGTCTTGAAACTGGTGGACTGTCAGCTGCTACTACAGAAAAATTATTTTTCTGTTCTGTAAATTGGGTCGTTTGGTTTGATGTGATGTTGAGAGAAGAAGGTTCAATCATGATCGAATTTAGACCTACCAATAATAACCAGTCTTTTAAATCATGGCTTGTTATGCATGCTATTAGCCAATTTTAAGCCACGAGGATTTAATATTTGTTTCAAGGAAAGTTAGGCACATAACCTGTAGACAAATAGGCATCTTTGAGAGAGAAGAAATCATACTTCATTAGTTTTATAATATAAAAAATATACATAAGGACACATAAATCAAACAGCTTTTTCTCCCCCCCCAAAAAAGGGTTGTGGGAACTTGGAGGGGTCATTCATGTGTCAAAAACAATAAGCTGCATGTAATAATAAAAGCATTTCAGTGATATGTATATTGTTGCCAGATCTTATTGTTTATTACATAATAAGTCAGATTAATGAGGAGTATAAGATAAAGCCCCAAGACAATGAAAACTGGCCGGGCTCTTACATTGGAATACAATGAAACACTTTAAGGTGTATATAAGCATACTTTATGGGAGAAAAGATGAATTTTTAACATCATATCTCTCTCTCTCTATCTCTCTTCAATGCTATTGTTCAAAGCTTTATCGTTTGTGCTTTTTTTTAACCTTGTCATCTGTCTTCCAGAAATCTTGGGGGTCTACCCAGCAGATGACACATTTAATTACACTATGCAATCGCCATCTGGAGCTGATGAAATGGTTGTCTCGTCTATAACAGAAGTTTTAAAATCTTTTGTTATTCAGCATGAAAAAATAGGTAGAAAAAAAAAAAAAAAAAAAAAAAAAGAACTCCCTGTTTCCAAGCTTTTACTGATAAGAAAAAAAAAAAATTATAGAAAATAGTAGATCATATACTCAGGAATTTAACGCGATGATGAAGGACGCTGGATCTTATGTTGTGTTCTGGTTAGAAGGTTTAAACGCTGAAACAAATACTACACAATCATCTGCGCTTAATAATGCAACAAACGTGCTTCGTTATCATCTGCCTATTTATGGTCACCGTGAAAGAACTCTTTGTGATTATTACATTGAGAGTTTTGTCTTTTGCTTTTGTGTATGTGCTCTTTCTCGATTCGTATGGGTGCTTATTAGGCGTCTGTTAAAGGGTAATCAACCTTATTATTTATTTTAATCGCATGAAGTAAAATTATCAGTTTGAAAAACATAAAAGGTCCTTTCTCTTAAATTGGTTCACTGTCTGTATTAATGATAAAGTTTTTTTTTTTTTTTTTTACGTATTCTTGCTTGTCCCCCCCACCCCCATGCGGCGTAAAACAACCTGGTCTGCTGGTTTTTATGTTTTTTTTAATCTGTTTTAAAACTCAAGCTTAAATCCTTATCAGATCTAGGTCTTTAAATTAAAAAAAAAAAAATCCATGCGCTGCAGCGGTCAGCAAATTTGTCGTAGACGCTATTATGAGTCACTTCAATATAGCTGCTATTGATAACAAAAAAAAAGTAAAAATAAAAGCAAACGAAGGGTTTTTGTGAAGCTACAGACTGTTAAAATAAATGGTTGTAAATTTAAATCTGATTAAATAAGTTATCTGCACACCAATCAGAATAGAGTCAGGCTGTAGTTACTGAAACCACTCACTAAGAACGTGTAGTCTTGGTAGAAGGGCAGGAAAAGACGGAAGAGAACGCAATAAGCGAAACCAGATTCAATTGAATAAAATAGATAATCAAGATCGTAAGCAGTTGCATACAAATTGTTGTATTACCTCGGGGAATGCACGCGGACTATAGATTTAGGGATTTTGGTTATCTGATCGAAAACAAAAAACGCACGAAATGCTTGAGTAAATGCTTTCTCTATAAGAATGCAATCAATCTACTAAAAAAAAAAAAAGCAACTATTTAATACCGGGTCTCTGATGGACTGGCATTTTTTTTTTTTTTTGGGAGGTTACAAGGTGTGATAAATGAAAGAAAGCGTCTTGATAGCTCACGATAAAAAGAGGAAATTGGCATATATTCATTAGATCCGATCGTGCTCTGTGATAGGACCATATTTTTGTTTAACACTAGGACGTAAAGTTGTTACTAATATTCATTGACAAATATAGAATCAAAATAAGGTCTAGATTACATGCGTATGACATGATTTGTATTTGTATTTTCATAATCATAAACTTATTGAATGGAAGATCCAGAAAGCTCACTTTTTTTTTTTTCAAATGCAAATTTTAATATATATCAATTATACAACAAGGTCTGCAGTTTATAAAAATCTAGTTGAACCATGACTTTGATTTAAAATCAATTTCGTACAGCTGTCATATAATTAAAAGCATTTATAGTTGAAGGGTGTTTAATACTATGTTTTTATGAACGGCGACGTTTTTACTTGTTTGTATAATACAAATGATGGTGTGTGGTCAGACCAGAAAATAGGTATTTAACATCCGTCATTTACTTATTTGAGAAAAATTATGATAGATTGGGTGGCGAGTTTTCCTTCGGAGGACCGTCATTAAATGTCCCGAGGGAAGAATCTTATTGGTTAAAAAGAGTCGAATACGATGGAAAAAAAATACAAGTTTATTTACACCACAGGTTTTTTTTTTTTTTTTTTTGATCCGAAATGGAGACGTGATATTCTCCGGATAAATTAAAGGTAAAAAAGATATTGTCAGCGTAAGAGGAATAGAGGGATCCAATTCCCACGCGACTATCATTAAATTGGAAATAATGGGTAAATGATGGGAAAAATAAAATAAATTTATTGTGTCGGCCAATCTGATAGGAGAACCAAAAAAAATTTAAAAACCATGTAATACCATTCAGGTTTAAAAAAAAAAAAAAAAAATGTAACAAGAGCTTAGTTACCAATCAAAAAGAGTAAAAAGAAACTCCCATGTTTTTTGGTTTTTTTTTTTTTTTTTTGAAGTGTTAAGTGTATAGTGTTTAAAAAAAGTGATGGGTGATACATGTAATCTTTATATGACACAATTTTATCCATGCGCAAGAAAGGCTAAATATAATAACATCTTTTTTTTTGTGTAAGGGAAAATTTTGTTTTCTGTACTGTTGTTTACCCATTTTCGCCTCCTTTTTTAATCCAAAATAAGAAAATATACCTATAAATTCAATAGTAAGCAATACAAAGCACAACCACTCTTTTATACGTCATTTATTTAATATTAAATAACGTAGCAACCATCATTTGTTTCTTGCAAAAAAAGAAAAAAGAAAATCAAACTAATTTTAGTTTGCCTCTCTACCCCCCAAAAATGGCGGGATTTCTATTGATCCTCAAGAGTCCATTTTTTTTTTCTTTTTTTGAGATATATAAAGGATTGGGTCTTTCCTCTTTTTTAGGCTTTTTTTTTATATTTTTCATCAACTTTTTTATTTGAAATCAACTCAAAAAATGTCAGACGTCACACACAGCAATAACTTACCTAACAACAATGATAGTAGTAGCGATGTCGAAGCTAAACATCACGTTCATACTACGTATTCTCCAATTCCTATTTATGCTGCTCCCACCATTGCAAATCCTGGTCCTTTAGGGCTCAGTTCTTTCGCTTTGACTACCTTTGTTTTATCTCTTCACAATGCTGGTGCAGGCGTTCCTGCCAATGGACCTTCTAACGTCGTAGTCGGCTTAGCTTTCTTTTATGGTGGTCTTGTTCAGGTAAAACACTAGTTTTTTTTTTGATCTTTATACCTTTTTTTTTTTTCATTTTACTGACCTATTTACAGTTATTAGCTGGTATGTGGGAGTTCAAAACCGGTAACACCTTTGGTGCTACTGCATTCTCATCTTATGGCGGCTTCTGGCTTTCTTTTGCTTTAATTTTCATTCCTGGAGCCAACGTCACTGGTGCGTATAGCACAGTGGGTACAGCTGTCTTGGAAAGATCTTTAGGCATTTATTTGATGTCTTGGGCTATCTTTACCGGTATCATGTTGATTGCTTCTCATCGTTCAAGTGTTGGTCTTATGAGCATGTTCTTTTTCCTCTTTATTACTTTTACTCTTTTGGCTGCAGCAAAGTTTAATGATAGTATTACTACCCAAATTGCTGGAGGTGCATTTGGTGTTATCACAGCTATCGTTGCTTGGTATAATGCACTTTCTGGTCTCTTAACAAAAGACTCTTCTTATTTCCTTTTACCTACTGGTCGTCTTAACTAAAAAAAAAAAAATTAAGAAAAATAAGCCACTAGCTTGTTGATATTCCCTGTGCCCTCTCCCTTTATAATTGACACTCTTATCCTTTTTTGTAACATTTATACATAATATATCCCCCCCCCCTTTTCTCTCTCTTAATAGCAACTCTCTCTTTTTTTTTAAAGCTCTATAAAATCGTAATACCATATAATTTTTTTGTTTTTGTGATGTCCCACCCACCAAATTCTTGATAATACATAGTTCCCCCCGTAAAAAAAAAAAATCGAATGCTACGTGCTCCTTCTGAGACACATTTACAACTGTAATTCAAACCCGGCCAGAAACATAGATCGTACGACCAAGTACAAATCTAGTCAAAGTCGACAGGGACATTTACTTTAACTGGTAAAGCTGAGAAAATATAAGTGTGCGGGTTTAATAAACATCGTTTCCAGATGGTCCAATGATATAATCTATCCCCACATTTAAATGTTTAAAAAAAAAGGCCGCTTACCTAAGGGCAGTCTGATCTTGGAGGAGCAGTTTCTTTTTTTTCTATATATATATTTTTTTTTACTTAATCATTGCTAGTACATAAGAACATGGTATAAAATAAGACAAGTTTTTACATAAGAGCACATTGTAACCTGTCACTTCTTATCCGCCGTGGGAATATAATAAAGTGTAAGGCGGTTAAATAATTTAGTCTTGTTTTGAATGGAAGGAATAGAAGCATATCGAGTATATGTAGTAAAAATGTCTTAGATTTTTTTTTGACAGTAATATTTTTTTTGTGGGGAAAAAAAAAGCAGAAATCATCCCCTCCCCCATTCCGCCCGCCCGCCCTTATTTTTTTTTTTATAAATGTCGGCTACACTTTTATTAAAAAACTAAGAGCTATTACACGATTAGAATGGCGATTTATATTTTACGCATCAAGTCCTTCCCCTCCTGGGGTTAGTTATGAGCTTAAATTACCCAGAAAAGTCTTAAATATATATCCGTTTTTCTTTTTTATTGCCAACTTAAACCTTTTACTCATTTCTTCACCTGTTCATATTTTTCTTCTCAGTAAATTGAATGGCGTTCTACATGGGGACTCTACTTTTAAGAAACAAAGTCAAGGTTATCTTTTTCCTTTTGTTTTGTTTATGTAATGGATACCCATTGTATCCAAAAGCGGTTTTTTAAATAAGTGCTAGCTTCTAATGGGGCTGGGATAACATAGCTGGGGGTAATACAAACCTTTGGATCCTAATTCTATTGGCCCCTGAGATTTATTTTAAAATTCAGTATCCAATAAATATGCGATCCAAAGGCTGTGATTAATTTTTATAGCCAATTAAATGGTAATCCAAAGGCTGTAATTAAATATTTGTAAAAAATGCTTCAACCAGGACAGGAAGTGGTTACGAAGTTCATACAAAAAAAAAAAAAAAAAAAAAGAAGTGGTTACGAACAGTTGGTGATATGTAATTATACGAATTGCAACATACAAAGATTGGTCTTTTTTCCAATGTACGACTTCAAATTTTTTTAATAGATATTACCTGCTGACATAAGCTTGAACAATAAACTGTTCATGCTTAACAACATTAGGAAAAAATGCATTAGGGGCTCTCCCTAATATGGATATGTTATATAAGAGTAATCCTGAAATGGCTCTATCATACGCTTTCTTTCTTTTTGTTAATTTATTTTTTTATGATCAATCAAAAAAAGAACAAGGGAAAACAGAAAGCTGTAATGCAAAGTATGCAAGCCTCTATTTCAAATTTTCTAAGTGACAGCAACTCGACTTCTGTCAACCCGGAACACACTCAATATATTGAGAGTGACATTAACCAAATAACAGTAATACTTAATATTGGGTTTAAATGTATGCGTTACTGATATTGTATTTATATAGACTCAAAATTTGTCAAGTTCAGCTATTGATGTTCCTGAAGCATCCATCCTTGTTGACGGCAATTTTTCGACGAGTGATTCTTTAGTTGATGAGGATAACTCCGACGAGGAAGATGGTGATGATAACGACGCCGAAAGTGAACAATTTCAAGAAAATCTGAATCGAAACAGTGCCTTATTCCAGTATTTTGAAAAAGTTCAATCCGATTTATCAAAGGCTAAGTATCCTCCTCCTTATTCTTCGAAAACATTTTGGATTCGTCCCATGGATACGTATTTTGCTATGCAGCTTAAAAACCCTTTAAGTGAATTATACAAGCCAGACATATTCCTTTGGCAGCCTCATCATCTCCTGCAAAATGGCTATAAAGATCTGAAATGTATTTCGGAACACTGTTCTGGAAACGTTACGTCAAAAGGCTACTATAAGGATCCACATGCAAGGCGCGCAGTAGGTCTAACAAGGTAAATAAGTTATTTCAGATAGGTTTAGACGTTTTTATTTATTTCCCTAGATGTTTTTATATTATGTCATACCGATATGCATGCTCTTCATGTAAAATAACCTTTAATGCTCATGATCCTAAATTGATGGCACAACTTCCAATTGAGTTGCAAGAGGCTTTCCCTGGAATAATAACCCATAAAGGCGCGGTATCTCGTGAAGTCGCAGATCTTCTTAGACCTTGTGTGCAAAATTCAGTCGGGCCAAAGCGTTTTTCTAAAATCATTAGAGAGCTTCATATGCTCGAGCATGATAGACTGGAGTTGATCTACCTGACAAATGTATTGAAGAAGAAGAAAAAGGAAGCTGAAGGGGTTGGGGCCTTTTTCAAATCTGCTTCCATCAATTACGCACCCTTTTCGTCTTTTGACGATCAATTAGGATATGCTGGTTATGTTCCAACGCCAGTATACTTTAGAACTCTCTACACAAGTATCATTGAAGAAGTAAGACCATTTATGGACAAGATGCTCATGTTGACTGGTGGAAAGATCATTCGTGGTGACCACTCTTTCAAAATTGGTAATGTCAGCATCACTCATCCATTATATATATTAACTATGACTGAAATTTTTAGTTAACCATATTGCCAAAATTGACAAATCCAGTGCCTTCACGGCACTCTATACAGTAGTCAATGAGTATGAAGAAATTCGGCTGATGTCATTGGTTCCATCCAAGTCCCACTCGTACTTGAAATGGTCATTTGAAAAAATGTATGATGCTTACAAGATGTACGGACACGAGCTCCCCACTGTTTTTTTCACTGACGATGTACGTGCTGATAGACGGTTTATTGAAAGCGTCATCCCATCTTTGACCGCAGGTGTTCAAGAGCAGAGATACGGAAATGAATCCAACGCCGCTTTGGAAATATACCCAGAGATGGATTTACCTGATTTTGTAAAGGTCAAATATATCACGCAATTTCACGAAATGGAACACGCCATTGCTGAGTTAAATGAACGAATTTCATTAGATCCTAGCAACACACCTGCTGTAGGATTTGATTGTGAATGGAGCTATAATGAGGAAACGAACACTTCCAACAACGGGATTGATACCATACAAATTGCGTATGATGAAGAGGTTATCATTCTTCATGTCACCAATATCTGGAATACTCTACCTGTTTCTTTGGTAAACTTTTTAAAAAATAAAAATATTCTCAAGGTTGGAAAGCTAGTCTCTGGTGATTTGAACCGAATTAAACGTACATTCACTAGTGTGATTTGTGAGTCTCCAGTAGAACTTGGGACTTTTTGCAAAAGTCGAAATTTGATTGAGCATGGCAAACTCAGTCTGTCTGAAATTTCAGCAAAAGTATTGGGGTACAAGCTCAACAAAGATGAAAGGATTGGAGACTGGAGTGTATCTTGTTTGTCAGAAGTTCAAAAAAAATATGCTGCTATAGATGCTTGGGCTTCTTTGAAAATTTACGAAAAGGCTGTAACGTTACCGGAAGTTGGAACACGTCTCTCCTTTGGTAATATTGTTGTCCCTGGAACCTATGTGAGATTTAGACCGAAAGGTTCGAGTAGTTATGTTGCACTTGGTAGAGTAGACGAGCAAACCGCTGAAGACAGGGAAAAGTTTCAAATCACAACGGATTACTTAATTGCAAGTCGGGTCATTGTTACAATTTTACATGTATCAGCACCTGGATATATACCACGTGGCATCGCCAAGACACCTCGCAAAAGTCAAAATAATGGTAGGCCGTTGGGCTCGTATCTCCCGGTACCATTCAAGTTACCAGTTTTGAAGGCTGATTTAGAGACTGATTCTGCGGAATTCGTCAACGGTTGCATAAATAGCACCAGATCGAATAGCAGCAATAATACTCAAGATGAAAGTGTGGTAGAAAATGAAGACGAAATTGGGGATTTACAAGAGACTGGAGAAGAGGATATTTCAGAAGTAATGAAAAACATGTTTGATGACTGTATTTCTGATGTTGATCGAGAAAATTTTGAGTACGGTTACAAAAAAGTTATGCCAATTAACAACCTAAATTCCGCTCCCCACGACAATAGGGTGTTTAGCCGAGTTATAAAAGATGTTTTTCATCTTATGGATCTTATTAAAACACCATCCAATCACGGTTTGCGGGTTGAATTTTCTCGAAGATTTCGTGATACGCTATTGATTTTGGATGCTGAAGACAAAGCCGAAGTTGAAAAGGTCTTGAATGAAAAGCTTCATACAACCTGGGATGAAAAGCTGAAATATGATTCTGAGTGGGTATGGAAACGAGTTAAGAGAAGAGTCCGTGAGCCTTCTTCTCTTTTTACGCAACTCAAAACGCTATTCCTCACATTTGGTCCCTTGAAATGTTCTGTTACAGGAAGTTGTTTGTTTGACAAAGTTGCATGGAGCCAAGCAGCCAATATATTACACTCAGTGAATCTTGGTCACGTTTCCGACCCTCCTGATGTTGTTTTATACCTCAACATGGGTGTAGATAAACATGGCCTTACAAAGTATCATTGCTTGCGTGGAACAAATTCACTTGAAGGTGGCATACACAGACACATAATCAAGAAATTTGGTTCGTATGGTGCTGGTCCTGCTTTAACAGATAGTGCTCTCGCAGAATTCAGAATGAGACACAATTTGGACGTAAGTGTCAATTTGAAGGTTTTATGTTTTAATATGTACCTAATTATTTTATATATTGTGATAAATTTTAGGTGGGTACAGCCAACAGATACCTTCGAAATTACCGCTCTCATTATGATCCATGGCTGACACAAATAATTCACGAAAAGCGATTATTACTGGAGTTTCCAACCGACGCTAACCAGATT